TGATACCTGATCCCTTCAACACCTCGTGATCACGCAGGCTGGTGTGCTTCTTCCATGTGGGCTTTGTTGCTTCTGAGCTAGATGGCCATTTGTTTACCTTCAAGCCTTTAAGACCCCAAACGCTATATCTTTTGATAGTTGGGCACCATCAGCTTTCTTCACCACATTTGTTAATGCACCCGTTTTGTCTTCAGCAATTGTGTCAGGAAGGTGAGCATCATGGAATGCCACTTTAATAGAACAAAGTGTTCTTGCATTGAGGGAGTACTTGAGTAGAGATCCAATGTCCATCTGCTACCTTAATATTAAATCTATACATATATGCACATAGATCTATTTCCACATCCTCATGTTTTTATAAACTTACCCTCTCCACTACAATCATGAATGCCTTTACGCCAAAGGAGAATACACATGTAGAATACTTCTGTCAAACGTAGGTATATTCATGAGTGTGCATCTACCCTCCCTCCCACATAAGTTAAGCTTGTGTGTCTATCCATGAACCTACCTACTCATAGATCATTGTTGCTGCCCGATTCTCTATATAAGAGTATTTACCTCAGCTGCATTTAACTTTTGCCCTTCTCCCAGTGTCCTCCCTGCCTCCATCACTCTATCCTGTTCTCCTCGTTTTAGATTGCCTTCAGTACAGCCCCCGTGGTGTGGTAGGTTACCTGATGGGCTACTAATTGCAAGCCACTTGATGGGAGAAAGATGAAGCTTCCTACCCCCATACACAATGACACCCTCAGAAACCTATAAAGTGTTTCTACTCTGTCCTATAGGGTCAATATGAATCAAAATTGACTTGATTACTGAGTGAATTTCCCTTCACCCAAGTTAATCTGAGTCTACTCTTGCCCACTCTTCCTCTGTCACAATTGATAACCATCAAAGAGAATGCTTATTTTCATGGGATCCTTTTTCTCCTTTTTTTTAACATGAATGTTCTCATACAATATTTGTCCTCTTGTTATTGACTTACTTCACTCAGCATAATGTCCTCTAGGTTCATCTATGTTCTGAGGTTTAGTGCAGATTCCTCATCATTCCTTAACATTGGACAGTATTTGTTAATACTTTGCTGAGGAATTTTGCATATAGTCTCAAAGAGCGCCTGTCTGAAAATTTCTTTCCTGTAATAATTATGCCAAGTCTTAGACTATAATATGACTTGCTTTATGAAATAAGTTAGGAAGTATCCACTTCATCTCTAAATTCTAGAATAATTTCTTTCAGACTAGTACTATTTCTGCCTTAAATGTTTTATTGAATTCACCAGCGTATACTCATCTGGACACACAATTTTCTTTGTGGGGTAATTTTATGCTAATTAATTTGATTTCTTTAAATGCAATATAATTATTTGAACGTTTCATTTCTTCTGAGTCAACTTTACTAACTTATTTTCCATTACACCTAATTTTCCATCAAATTGTTCATTTTATTGGCGTGAACTTTTTCTAAGTCATTTTATTGGTGGCATATACAGCTCTTATAACAATCCATATATCAATTGTAAAAAGCATATTTGTACATATGTTGCCACCATCATTTTCTAAACATTTTATTTCTGTTTGAGCCCTTGGTTTTAGCTCCTCTTTTTTTCCTTCTTCCCTCACCCTCCCACCCTCGGGAACCCTTGATAAATTATAAATTATGATTATTTTCATACCCTACACTGTCTCCCTTCACCCATGTTTCTGTTGTTCTTCCCCTTTTGGGTGGGGAGCGGGGCGTTATACATGAATCTTTTTTTATCAGTTTCCCCCAATTTTCCCCTCCTCCCCACCCTCTACCCTTTTGGGATTACTACTCCCATTTCTTCCTTTTTTTGTATCATTTTATTGGGGGGCTCATACAACTCTTATCACAATCCATCCATCCATCCATTGTGCAAGCATACTTGTACATTTGTTGCCATTACCGTTCTCAGAACATTTGCTTTCTACTTGAACCCTTGGTATCAGCTCCTCATTTTCCCCCTTCCCTCTCCGCTTCCTCCTCCCTCATGAACGCTTGTTAATTTATAAATTATTATTTTATCATATCTTACACTGTCCGATGTCTCCCTTCACCCATTTTTCTGTTGTCCATCCCTCAGGGAGGAGGTTATATGTAGATCCTTGTAATTGGTTTCCCCTTTCCACCTCACCTTACCTCCACCCTCCTGTATCGCCACTCTCACCACTGGTCCTGAAGGGATCATCCGTCCTGGATTCCCTGTTTTTCCAGTTCTGATCTGTACCAGTGTACATCCTCTGGTCTAGCCAGATTTGTAAGGTAGAATTGGGATCATGATAGTGGGGCGGGGGGGGGGGAGCATATAAGTACTAGAGGAATGTTTCTAAGGGATTTATCTGTCCTGAATTCCGTGTGTTAAGAGCTCTTGTCTGTACTAGTGTACATGCTCCAGTCTAGCCATATTTGTAAGGTAGAGCTGAGGTCATGATATTGGGAGTTAGGAAGCCTTAAGGAACCAGAGGAATATTGAGTGTTTTCTTCAGTGCTATACTGCACCCTGGTGAGTTTTGGGTCTCCACTCCAAGCTCCCTCTTTCTCAACAATATGATTATTTGTTCTAAGTCTTCTGTTGCCTGTTACCTGGTCCCATGGACACATGATGACCACACAGGCTGGTGTCCTTCCATGTGGACTTTGTTGCTTCCCTGCTAGCTGGCCACTTGTTTACCTTCAAGGCTTTAAGACCCCAGACTCTATACCTTTTAATACTCTATCACTATCAGCTTTCTTCACCACATTTACTTATGCGCCTATTTTGATTTCAGCGATCATGTTGGGAGTGGCATAAACTGTAATAATATTTCTTACTATACTTTTAATGTCTACACAAATTCCAATGATGTCTCTTCTTACATTCCTGATAGTCCTAATTTATATTCTTACTTTCTTTTATTTTCCAGTCTGAAGGATTATAAGTTCTATTATACTCTGCAAAGAAAACTGTACACCTTTTAGCTTTTTGAATTTTTCTGTTGTTGTGTATTTCTAGTTAATTGCTCTCCTTTTCCAGTCTTGTTAGGGTTTATCAATTCTGTTAACCTTTACAAAGAAAACTGTACACTTTTTAGCTTTGTGAAATTTTCTATTGTTTGTCTATTTCTGTTCAATTGCTCTCTGTACTTTATTCTCTCCTTGCATCAATTTACATTGGGTTTAATCCATTTGTCTTTTTCTAGTTTTTTTAAGTCTAGCAATTAACGCTCAAAACTTCCTTTAGCAGTACTACAGACCACATGTATAGATTTTTCTATATCTTCATTGTCATTTTTAGTTAAAATATTAACTAATATTACTAATTAATAATCTAATGATAACTCGCATTTTACTTTTTTAATCGCTCACTGCCAGCAAGTCTGTTCCTATTCATGCAAACCCTCCAGGGCAGAGAAGCACTGCCCCTGTGGGTTTCTGAGGCTGCAAATCATTAAAGGAATTGAACGCCTCGGGTTAACCCCACAGAGTGGCTGGTGGTTTCCAATTAGTAGCCCAATGTGTAGCCCACTACACCTCCAGAGCTCTTCCTTTTGTTTATAGATTATATAAAAATGTGTTCAATTGCCGATATTTGGAGTGTTCATCTATATATTATTGTTAGTTCTTTTTATTTTGTTTTGGCCAAAGAATGTGTAAGTTATCAACATTTTTTAACTGTACAGAGAGTTATATTATAGCCTAAAGGAACCTGGGGAGTACAGTGGGATATTATTGATCTGCTAACCCTAACGCAGGCAAATCACAAGCACTAGCTTACTCGTCAGGAGAAAGATGGGGCTATCTGCTCCCATAACGATGTATAGTCTCAAGGTCTATGAGGTGAGTGTGAGTCCAATCGACTTGATGGCACTGGGTTAATGACCTAAGTTATGATATATCTTGGTAAATGTTCCATGTGCATTCAAATAACTGCAACCTCTATCATTATTGGGTGCAGTGTTTTATAATTTTCCATTCATTCCAAAGTATAATATGATTTTTAGACTCTGTAACTTTCTAATATTATGTTTACTTCTTATATCTACTATTAAGATTAAATATGAGATCTCCAATAATGATTATAGAATTCCTATTTCTCTCTCTCTCTCTCTTTTGCCTCGTATGCTTTAAAGTTATTTTGCTAGGCACATATGAATTTGTTATTGATATATCTTCTTGAAGAATTGCAAGTTTTATCATTATCAAATGTTTCTCTTTAACTCTAGTAATATTTCTTTCTATGACAATCACGTTGTCTATTATAGTCACAGCAGCTTCCTTAAAAGAATTAGTTGGCTGGAGCTGCTGCAAAAATCGTTATACACTTGATGATAAAACATTAGAAGTTAATTTTCTCATAGTTCCAGAGGCCAGAAGTCTAAAATTACAGTTTCAGAAAGTTTGCTTCCTTCCAGGGCCTCTGAGAGGTAATCCCTTGCAAAGCTTTCTCTCAGCCTCTGCTGTCTTTCTGGAAGAGCGGCATGACTTGGGTTAAAATTGCTGCAGTCTCCGCCTCTGTCTTCACGTGTTTCTCCTCTGCACCCATGTCTCCTATAAACATAGCAGTCATTGAATTTAGCATCCACTCTAATCATTAGATAAAATTACACCTCATCTTTACTGTAATTACATCTGCAAAATCCCTTATTCTAAGTAAAGTTATAAATTTCTCAAGTTCAGGACTTTGATATGTCATTTTGAGAGCCACTATTAAAGTCACTTTCTTTTTAAAGCTGATAGGAGAGACTAGTCTACCATTGCTCAGACTACATAGTGCCTGAATTAAAACAGATCTCCCCTTTGTTTCTACAGTGGTGCCCTCCTGAATGCAAAATGCCTGAATTTGAACAAACTACAAAACACGTATTTCATCAAGACAATGGCCTTTTTACTGATTGGAGAAAGCACAATATGTGTAAAGCTTGGACAGAAAAGCATAACTTGCAAAAAAATGAAAATAGTCAAGATAGGTAAGAAGTTGAATTTGGGGGGTGGGGGGTGGCCAGGCCGCCATGTTTTTGTATGTCTGAAGACTGGTTGTGTTAAAAACCCAAGAACAATGTGCGATAGCAAACTATCTAATGGAAATGGTTTTGAAAGAAGCGAGAATGTTGAAACCTATGCTACAAATTCATGGTGTGAGAGCGTTCTGTCCGAATTCAAACTCAGGTGAGGGAGAGGGTGGAATAGTAACGACAAATTGCAGCAAGCACAACGCTGCAGGAAGAGTCTCCATCGAGCTGAAGACTACCCACCGATGTCCGTGTCTTCTTCGTGATGACTTCGATTGAGGCTTCGCTGTCCGCTCCCTATATCGCTGCCATATTCAAGTGTTGCAGTGAAAACAGTCAGGCCTTTGAGGAGATGAAGAGGATTCATTCAGAAAAGAAAAGTGTGCATTGGGAAGCAAGGAGGTACCAGTCCATGTGAGAATTGATGGTTCCAACGAGAAGCTTCTAACAGACAGACAGAGATAGAGTTCCAGGAAGGAAATGATAGAACATAGTCACTTAGTAAGTCTATGGCTTTAGTCACAAGGAAGATATGTTAGCACAGGAAGGTACGTCTATTGGATCATTATCAATTATCCAATCGAGTCCAGAGGCTCAGAGTGGTTATTTCTTTTTTTTTAATCATTTTATTAGGGGCTCATACAACTCTTATCACAATCCATACATACATCAATTGTGTAAAGCACATTTGTACATTCATTGCCCTCATCATTCTCAAAACATTGGCTCTCCACTTAAGCCCCTGGCATCAGGTCCTCATTTTTCCCATCCCTCCCTGCTCCCCCATCCCTCATGAGCCCCTGATAATTTATAAATTATTATTTTGTCATATCTTGCCCTGTCCGACATCTCCCTTCACCCACTTTTCTGTCATCCATCCCCAAGGGAGGAAGTCACATGTAGGTCCTTGTCATCGGTTCCCCCTTTCCAACCCACCCTCCCTCTACCCTCCCAGTATCACCACTCACACCACTGGTCCTGAAGGGATCATCTGCCCTGGATTCCCTGTGTTTCCAGTTCCTATCTGTACCAGTGTACATCCTCTGGTCTAGCCAGACTTGCAAGGTAGAATTCGCATCATGATAGTGGGAGCGGGGAGGAAACATTTAGGAACTGAGGAAAGTTGTGTTTTTCATCATTGCTACATCGCACCCTGACTGGCTCATCTCCTCCCCCGAGACCCCTCTGCAAGGGGATCTCCAGTGGCCTACAAATGGGTTTTGGGTCTCCACTCCGCACTCCCCCCATCATTCACTATGGTAAGATTTTTTTGTTCTAATCACTAATCACACAGATTTTCAGTCATATATATCCTTCAGGTGGGATCATAATAAGACCACTGGTGGGTGTTTAAGTGGATGTTAAATCAAATGTCTCAGGTATTTGAGATAACCTTTTGGTATATCAGGGTCTCATTTCCAAGCTATAGCTTGTTAAAACAAAACCTTCGTAAGGGGTCTGGTATACTTTAGATAAGGCTGCCTCCAAGAACCTTTCAAAACCACTCTCTTTCTTACACCTTTGTCATAAATGTTTCTTGGGACCACTTCACGCAAAGAATGCCTGTTAAGATGCTCTTCTTAAAAATGTATTTCTTATACATCCTGGCTCAGCCATAAAGAGAAATCACTTCCTTGTAATTAAAAGTCAAATGACAAGCACCTGTGTGATGTCTGAGTTGGCCCTGTTACATGCAGCTCAGCAAGCACAGCATCCCAGGCAAGCAAGTAAAAAGACCAATATAATTCAGTAAGGACTGAGTTTAATTCAGTTATGTATGTATGATCAAGTCATTTCATGAATTTCTCCTTCACACAAGTTATTTTTTAAAAAAATAAATATGCTTTTTGATGAGCCTTATTATTCCTTGGGGGTGATCCGTGGAGCAAATCTGATTTGCTCCAACCCCCAAAAGGCAACAATGACATTTCAAATACAATTACCATTTGAAATGCTAAACACCAGCTTGATGGCCCTTTGGATCAACAGAATATCCATATACACATTTTTATAAATCAGAAAGTCCATTCAGTGATTTGGTTATCAACAACATCCCTGCTGCTATGGAGTTGATTCTGATTCATAGATATTGTAGCACATGGGTGCCATGAACTTGGTTCCTACTCATAATGACCCTGTGTACAACACAATGGAATGCTGCCTGTTCCTGCGCCGTCCTCACCAATGTCCTTATTTTGAGCCCCATTGGCAGCCCCTGTGTCCGTCCATCTGGTCAAGGGGCCTCCTCTTTTTGCTGACCTTCTACTTTACCAGGTAGGATGTCCTCTTTCAGAAACTGGTCTTTCCTGATAACCTGTCCAAAATTATTCTGACTTCTAAGGAACATTCGGACTGTATTGTTTTCCAGACAGATCTATTTGATCTCTGGCAATCCGGGTACTTTCAATATTCTTTGCCAATACCATGGCACCTCTCTAGGACTCGTTATGGTCTGGTTTCCACATGCACATGAGGTGAATGAAAATGCTGTAGCTTGTCTCAGTTCACCTTGTTCCTCAAGGTAACATCTGAGTTCTTTAATGTTTTAAAAAAAAGACCTGTGCAGCAGATTTGAACAATGCAAAGCATCTTTTCATTTATTGAATGGTGTTTCCATGCTTATTAGTCAAAATTAATAACCAATTTATCATTTGGTTAGTAGGATAATTAAATAATCAGAAAAACTGGGAATATAGACATGAAGCTTTCTTTTGATTACTTATCGATTTATGATTCTGAAATGAATACGGGTATTTTCCAAAGTCTCAGAGATATTTTGTTATAAAAGGATGTCTAAGTCCATTACGATGTATTAGTACAGCGAAGTGCTATTTATATTTCTGCCGTCTATGATAATTTGCAAATAAAATAATACATGTAAGGGGAAAATGTTCAACTTGATAGCAAAGACGCATTATTTTATTGGTTTTAAATATTATGATAGCCTTGCTTCCTGATGCCCAACATCTCACCTCCCAAAGAGAAAAGCAATGACTCCAGAGACATATTCATTAGAGACAAGGAAAAGGTGAGAATGCAACAGCTAGACTCCACTTCATTCTCTGAGTTAGTTAAATAAGGGGGAGGGGCAGGAGCTCCATGTGTGAACAACTGTCTTGCAGTTGTTGCTGCTGTTAGATGCCACCGAGTTGAGTCTGACCCATAGTGACATATGCACAACAGCACAAAACACTGCCTGGTCCTGCGCCCTCCTCACAGTTGTGCTTATGCCTGATCTCTTTGACGCAGTCACTGTGTCAATCCATCTCATTGAAGGCCTTTCTCATTTTCCCTGCCCTTGCATTTAACCAAACGCGATGTCCTCCTCCGGGGACTAGTCTCTCCTGACTCTATGTCCAAAGTATGTAAGATGAAGTCTCGCCTCCAAGAAGCACTCTGGCTTCCTCCTTCCAACACAGACTAGGTCTTCTTAGCAGTCCATGGTACTTTCAATATCATCCTGTAACACAACAATCGAGCATTCTACAATCTTCCTCATTCAGTATCCATCTTTCACATGCATATGAGGCAGTGGAGAAGACCAGGCAACATCCCAGCTCCTCAATACTCTGAAGAGATCTTGTGCAGCAGATTGACCTACTGCAATACATCTTTTGATCTCTTGAAAATGAAGAAGGACTTGGCCCCCCACTTCGGAGGAAACACTGCTTGGTCCACCAAACTTGAGGTTAGCATTCCAAGGTGGACCCAGCAGCACCACCAGGGCAGCTACAAGGCCACCTAATGCTTTTAGGGACCCACATTCCATGGGTCAGCAGAAAGAGGAAGGCGCTCAATGAGATAGATTGACACATGGCTGCAATAATAGGCACACACATAGGAACAATTGTCAGCATGGTGCTGCACCAAGCAGTGTTTCATTCTATTGTGAGTATGGTCGCTATGAGCTGGAACTGAGTGGGTGGCACCTAACAACAACAGTCTGCAGCCCTAGCAGCTTATAAACTTGACCCGGTATATGGGGGATGGGGGGGTGATAACCTGAGAAGGTTGTGTAGAGGATGTGCATCTATAAACATTTCCTGAAATACAGGGTAGGAACTGGCTTGGGAGAAGTAACAGGCTGAGCTGTGTTCTCTGTTGATCTGTGTCTAGCCCTGCCTCCTTCCTCCTGCTCCCCTCTCGGGGGTGGCTTTCTTTTTATAGTGCATCTGCAAGTGAACAAAGGAGAAACTTCCCCCTTTTGCAAGATATCCAAGAGTAAGAAGGAGCTACTTCCTCTTTTTCGGAACCTCTGGGTAATGGGCAAGAATCTTAGTCTCTCTTCATAGGGCCAGTGCCAACAGCCACTGGGTAGACTCCACCCCAGGCTTCCTTCACTGGGCTGGCAAGTGAGTCTGAAACCAACTCAGACCACTCAGAAGCCAGCTCAGACATGAGTATATTTTTAATATAGGTGTCCCTCCCATCTCTGCCTATTTGTGTTGTTGACTTGGGCCATTTAATGGGAGCTAAGTTCAGCCTAGGAAATCGCGTGGGGCAGTTCCACTCTGTTCTCCAGAGTTCCCATGAGTTTTCCTGACATGTGTACACAAAAAAAGGAAATCCCTTCATGTCCAGACCCCGAGATTCCCAGGGTGGGTGTCAGAGCAACTGAAAGGTCAGGCAGGGAAATTTTAGGGTAATGAGGGCAGAAGCCTGAATACACACGTTCTCCGAAGAGGTGCATTTGTGACACGGGCCAAGCAAAGCAAACCAGGGATGTAGACGCAGTGAGAAGCAGAGAAGACCGAGAGAGCGGCAGTTTGGTGTTACTCTTCAAGTGGAAAGGCCTGGACCAGGGTGTGTGTTAACTAGATGAGGGGCAAGACCTTCAGTACAGCCTAAGGTGATGACCATAGCGAAGACCCGGCATTAAAGGGAGTCTCTCCCTAGAGGGTGCAAGTGATGAACCTGCTTGTGCTCGGCAGATAAACAAAAGGTTGGCGGTGCCAAGCCATCCAGGGACCTGGCAATCTATTTCCAAAAAAAAAATTAAAAACTCAGTCATTGAAACCATTAGGAGCACAATTCTTCCCCAGAATCAATTTCTGAGCAACTGGTTAAAACTGAAATGCTCCTGTTTGAAGACTAGTTTAGTAACAAGTTCTGGAATACCCAAATGGAAAAGGAAATGTGTTCCGTTGTAATATGAGCTGCTGTAACAAGAATCCCCCCCAATGCGTGCTACCTTTAACACAGGTAACTCATAGTAGAGCCAAAATGGGTGTTCCTAACCGGTGTGTGGTGTTCCTCCAACCAATATTGAGGGTTCCTCGGATCCTGCGGCATTACTGTCTCAGCCTCTGACTGGAAACTGTGGGAACGAACAAAGATTGGAGTCACAGAGGAGTAGAACTGGTGAACCTTCACTTTCACTCACTCACGTAATCACAAGGCTATACCCATCTGCAAGGAATGCTGGGAAGTGTAGTTTGGCTTTGAAGCCAGGAAGGAAAGTTGGGAATGGTCGTCTGAACAGCTAGTCAGTTACCACCACAGAACCCCCCAAAATAACAGTGAGACGCTCACTGCCATCAGTCGATTCTGACTCATGGCAACCCTGTAGGACAGGGGGGAAGTTTGATTGTCAGTAGGCGGACTTTGAAAATGATTACTTTGTTGACCCCCTACAGACTGACCTCATTTCTTTTTCCTTTCCAGTTAAGCCAGAGGCTCCTTTTGACTTAAGAGTCACCTACCGTGAAGAAGCCAATGATTTTATAGTGACTTTTAACACATCGCACTCACAAAAGAGCTATGCCAAAACGTTACTGCATGAGGTAGTCTACCGCCAGGAAAAAACTGGAAACGACTGGAGGGTATGTAACGAACACCTTCTCTCCAGGGGTCTGCATCCCCTGGGAGCTCCCCTAGCAATTTTGTGTTCAAAAGGCACCTTTTCAAGAAAGAAGTGCTTACATAAACCTCAATTCCCCACCAAACCTGGTTCTTGCCTGGTCTGTTCTTGTTTGAGCTGTGATTTTTTTTTTTCAGTTGCTCAGTTTTTTTTGGTCTTTATAATGTTTCTGAGTTAGGTAGTTCAAAACAGTATAGATTGCTCTCAAAACTCAAAATCACTGTCATCGAGTCAATTCCAAATGACAGCTTCCCTAGAGGACAGGGTAGATCTGGCCCTGTGGGTTTCCCTAAGCAGTTAAAATCCTTAGGGCCCAGAAGGACTCATCTTTCTCCTGAGGAATGCCTAGTGGTTTCAAACCACCGACCTTATGTTAGCAGTCCACTGCTTAACCCACTGTGCCACCAGGCCAGTCCTGTTCATTTGGGGGGACTCAGGAAGTATCATGCTTTACATCCCGTTCATTTGTTATCTGGACCAAAAAAAAATACGCATGCACCGTGTGCATTCACAGAGGAATGAATAACTATAATGTGGTCTGTACCTCCAGTGGAATAGGATGTCTGCATAGAGAGGAATGAATTCTGCTACAACATCATAGCGGCTGAAATAAGTCAGAAATGGAAAATCACATGTGCTCTCACTTAGATGAAACAAACAAATCGAAATAAACTGGCTCCCAGGGATGGGAGGAAGGGGTCAGAGGGAAGTCTTTTCCTACAGATTGTATGAGTGCGTGCTCCGCCCTCACCTCACTCCCTGCAAGTGGATGCCAACTCTCAGCGACCCTGGAGGGCAGGGTAGAACTGTCCCCTGTGAGTTGCTGAGGCTGTAAATGTTTAAGGGACTAGAAAGCCATGTCTTTCTCTCACAGAGAGGCTGATGGCTTCAAACTTTGGACCTTGAGGATCACAGCCCAACGCATAGCCACTATGCCACCTGGGCTCTGAGCGTATGCGAATGGTGGTGAGATAGTGTGAAAAGGAAAGTGAGAATGGTCATACAACATGAAAAGCATGACCAACGAAATATAGATGCAGAAATTGTTGAACTGGGGAATGTTTGCTATGGATATTCTCGCCACAGAGAGAGAGAGAAGAGTATCCCAAAGATAAAAGCAATGAAAGAAGAGAAGAGATTAGTGCTTCCTCAAAAAAAAATTAAGGTGTGTATTTGTCAGCACACGCAGTAATTAAAAATTGTAAAGCAAATTAAAATTTAGTTTTATGTTGCCATATATGCAAATGAGAGGTGGTTCATAACCTTAATATATAAAAAGCAGTTATAAATCATTAAGAAATAAACAAATATCACAGTAGAAAAATGAACAAAGTTTTTAAAAAGACTTTCACAGCCCAAATTCTCATCAGCAGATGATTAGATTAAAACACCTTTGGTTGTGATAAATCCTAGTAGACCAGAGCACATACATAGGTACAGATAAGAGCTAGAATCCAGGACAGATAAATCCCTCAGGACCAATATTGAGAGTAGTGATACCAGGAGGGGAAGGGGAAGTTGGGGGTAGAAAGGGGGAACCGATCACAATGATCTACATATAACTCCCTCCCTGGGGGATGGACAACAGGAAAGTGGGTGAGGAGGCACATCAGTCAGTGTAAGATATGAAAAAATAATAACAATTTATAAATTATCAAGGGTCCATGAAAGGCAGAGGGTGGAGGAGAGAGGGGGAAAATGAGAAGCTGAATGATGATGGCAACAAATGTGCAAATGTGCTTGATACAATGGATGGATGTATAGATTGTGATAAGAGTTGTATGAACCCCCCCAAAAATTATTTTTTTTAAAAAACCTTTGGTATGTACACACCAGGGAATGCTATGTACCCCTGAAAAACAGCAATGAAACACCTCTAGACATGGAGGGGTCTGGAAGTCATTATTCTGAGTCAAGTTAGCCCATCCTTAAAGGACAAATGCTGTCTGAGTCCACCGCTGTAGGAACAAGCAGCAGAAGAGGCACAAGCTCTGGCTTGTAGGGCCTTCTGTCTGCTGGCTGGGGGTCAGGAGCCTGGTAGAGAGCCTGACCAGTGCCAGTGAACGGACAAAAACCGCTCTAAGTAAGTGTCTTGAAGGTCACTTCGCTGGAGGGCACCTCATATCAGCTCAAGGCGCACAGCATGCTCCAGAAGCTGCATCAGTGAGCTTCCATCCGGGAACTCCACTGGGTGATCTGGACCTTGCCTCACACACCCTTGTATCCTGAGGACTGAAGTAGGAAAATACATGGTGCTTAAGGAAGCAGACAACATCTGTACCAAGATTGTTGAATTGTTGGTAGGCAGACAAGCAAGGTCTTGCTACATCAGTGCGGTATTAAAAATCATTATCATTCATGTGAATAAAGACTCATTGTACAGACCCTGCCCCTAATTTGGCTGCTCACATCTCCATATGTCAGAACTACTGCTTTTGACACACGTTAGCAAACTCTGAATGAGAGACCATCCTTCTTGTCATCCTGAAAATGTAATGACCTTTTTTTACTCTTTAGCATGTGAATTTATCCAGTACAATGCTGCCACTCCTGCAGAGAAAGCTACAACGGGACACAATGTATGAAGTGAAAGCCCGATCTATCCCCGACGGGGGCTACTTTGAAGGCTTTTGGAGCGCGTGGAGTCCCAGTTCTCACTTCAGAACTCCAGACACCAGTGGCACAAGTGAGTCATGATTATAGACTCCTTCCCTTCATGCTTTGCATGTGAAAGCGCGCGAGCAAGAGGGAGAAACAGAGATGAAACTAACCTGTAAATTGGGATGCTCACAGAGGACATGGTTATACCACTTTGGAATATGATGTCGTCTTTACATTTTTTAGAAAACAAGGTCTTAGCAGATAATTAGCTGGTATGCAGGCTGTCTAGATACTCTAGATTCTAATAATTCAGCACAAAATCTCCATCCACTCCCTCCAATTTACCAAGATCCAAAAGACTGATTTCTCTAAGACTACACAAGAGGATGCTTTTGTGGCTGTGATGGATAGGCAGGCTGTTGGTGTTGTTCCTGTATTTATTTTCCCAAAATAAATCATTTTTGCTAATTGTGTTAGGCCGGGATGACTAGAGAAACAAATCCAGAGGCATTCATATTTATATAAGAAAGAGCTTCATATCAAGAAGGAGTTATATATTGAGAAAACATCCCTGCCCAGTCCAATTCAAATCCATAAGTTCGATACGAGTCCATAAGTCCCTCTGCAGACTCACAAAGCCACAGAATGCAGGAATACTGCAGGTTTGTGGGTACAGAGTCGTGTGGATCCAATGATAGTGGTTGCATTGCAGGGCTCTAGTGACAATCAGGGTCAGCCAGCAGGAAGTGGAAGACAGAGAGAGAAGGAGAGGTTCCCAGGACCCTGAGGAGGCCACACTCACAAGGAGGCAACATCAGACTATGACCTGATTGACAGGCTGACTACCACCCCTGCGCTTTTATGTATCTTCACATTGACGTATTATGTAACTACCACACTAGTGATTAAAATGTAGGCCCCACGCATGTATCACTGTGCCATACTGCGAGGGCTGGGGTGTTGCTGTGATGCTCAAAGCTGTGCCATCCGCATTTCAAATACTAGAAGGGTCACCCAGGGGGAAGAGGTTTCAGAAGAGCTTCCACACTAAGCACAGACTAGGGAGAAGGGCTAAGCAGTCCACTTCGGAGGGACTTATCCCTGAAAACGTTGTGAATCACAGTGGAACGTGTTTTGCTATAATACCAGATGAGCCCCCTCAGGTTAGAAGGCACTCAAACATGACTGGTGAAGAAGAGTCGTCTCTTCAAAGTAGAGTCAACCTTGGTGACCTGAATTAAGCGAAGCTTTAGGGACCTTCATTTGCTGATGGACAGCAGCTCAACATGTGAATACACAGCTGCAGGGATCCATCAGTAATCAGAATATAGAATATACAAAATTTGAATCTAGGAAACTTGGAACTCATCAGCAACGAAATAGAACACACAAATTAGGGCACTGTAAAGGATATTAAGGGACATTAGGGGACTTTAATGGACAGCTAGGGGCATGTTGAGTTGGGTAAACACTTGGTTTACTGAACAGGAAAGGACAATTTCAAAAGGAATGGCATCGCCTTCATCCACAAAAAGACCGTTTCAAGGTCTACCGTGAAGTACAATGCTGTCTACAATAGAACGGCTGTAAGTCTACAATGGAGAATATGGCTCAGGTAGACTCCTGGAGTCTCAAGGCACCCATAGATATTTTCCCTTTGGGAGATTAGGTAGAAAATTTTTCTATGACACCCATCTTCCAACATCACCCTACAAATTGCTGAGAGCTACCGGGTAGATCATTTATCTTAATGCTCCCAACTCTGGCTCCTTTCCCTTGCTATAAGCTCATGAGGGGTGAGAGTGAGACGGGTAATAATGATACCTTTGATGCTAGAGAACTTTCACATTTCAAGTTGAAGGTGTTCTGGCCCTGGTCACCCAAGCCTGCGCCACTTACTGAGGTCAAAACTCTCCAGGACCACTTAGAAAGCATACTGTTTATTAATAACAATTTTCAAGAAAAATTTACAGGCAAAATTCAATGCATCCTTAATGTCAGCCCCACTGCCTACTAAATGAGTGTTAACCACGATCTATCCTTGTATTTCAGGGGAGTTGGATCCTGTTTTGCTCACGATTAGGCTTCTGAGTTCCTTCACCATGTCCCTGTTTGTCATCGTGACCTGTGTAATGTGGAGGAAAAGGTGACTGTTTTCAACTCACAAAGAGCGTGGCTCTGTGCAATCCCAGATAGTCGTATCGCTGCACTTGTTATGAGCAAACTGCAAAGGGAAATCAGTCTTTCTAGGAGCTATAGTGCTCCAAACCTCCAGAGAATTTCCAGTCAATTTCTTAAGAGTTAAAAATATATAAATTGTACTAAACACAATTTCTTCCCCCCAAAAGAGAATTATTTAACATAAGGTTTCCCCAACTTTTCCTCCAGCGTCTCTTAAAGGGGAGGGAGAGTGAGCAGAGGCCCTGCCACTAGAGTCCCTGGGCAATTGAGAGCACCCATGGACAATGCAACATGTCTGTGAGGCCAACTTTGAGCGCACACATTCAATACGCAGCACCCATCCATTCTACCCCAGAACAAGGTCAAGTTTGCGTCATCCTTAAAAATCTGGCATTTTAAACACGCATGACTTCAGTCATTTGATGTTCTCAGCGTTGCCTTCAGTACAGGACCACGGGTCTGCAGGCTTATACTCCAGAGTGGAAAACACCACCCGAGAGCCGTTTCCCTGGGAGACTTGGAAAGATGCGTCTGACCAGGAATCAAGTACCTCCAGCAAAATTAGGGCAGAGGGGTTACTGCCAGTAAAGGGAAGGAATAATAAGACAACAGCACTTGTACTGGGAGTAGAGGACCAGTCTCAGATTTGAGCCCCATAGCTACACAAAAACTACATTGCATAGCCAAGCATTTTTGCTCCTTCTTCCCAGGCCTCTTTCCCCACGGTGTTCCATGGTTATGTCTTGCTCACAAAGTAAGCCGGTGCAATGATCTCTGGTCCTGAGGCCCAGAGAAAGCGAGTCATTTGTGTAAGGTGCCCCATCTAGTTGTAGCATTGCCTAGATTAGCTATCCCATCTTATGCCTTGTTCATAATAAATGGAAAGAACTATTGGGCCTGCTCCCTTTGCCGTTCATTCATCTAAAATTGTCTTCTTGCTTTAGAATTAAGTCTGTTTTATGGCCCAAACTCCCTGATCATAAGAAGACTCTGGAACAACTGTGTAAGAAACCAAAAAAGGTGAGTGCTTCCAGTGCTTCTGTTACTATGTCGGAGGCAGGCCAGGGACCAGAAAGGACTTTCCCGGACAGGAAGGAGGTGAACTTCAACATGTAGTCTTTTTGGAGCTTATAACTAGGATTCCTTATAAGATACTAGCTGTAGCTCCCTAAAGGTCCTAAAAACCCAAACCAAACTCATTACTGTTGAGTAGATTCTCACTCAGAGTGATGCTATCGGACAGGGTAGAATTCTCCCCATGAGTTTCTGAAATTACAATTCTTTCTGGAAGTAGAAAACCTCATCTTTATCCCAAGGAGCAGCTGGTGGTTTTGAACTGCTGATCTTGCCGTTAGCAGCCCAGCACTCAAAGGAGATGCAAGTTTCAGAACTTCCCAGGATTCCCAGGGTCAGAAGGCACAGCAGTGGTCACTTGAGACCCTGGCATGTTACAGCACCTCCAGAAGCAAGGAATCAAGGGAGGAGCATGCGGGTCATTCTATGACATTTCCCCATGAACCTTGTCAGGAACTTCTTTAGATTTCCCCCTGCAATGAACATTTGGTTTATGTATCTCTGGTGTAGTCTTCATGACATGTCTCTTTTTCCACGCAGCATTTAAATGTGAGTTTCAATCCTGAGTGTTTCCTGGACTGTCAGATTCATAAGGTGGATGGCATTCTAGCCAGAGATGAAGCGGAAGGCTTTCTGCAGAGTGATTTTCCTCCACCACTTGCGGAGACTGAGAAGCAGAAGCTTACAGGAGGAATGCAAGGCCCCAGCTGGCCCTTGGATCGCACAGTCCTTGTCCCAGAAACTTCCAGGGAAGATTCACCCTTCAGATGCCTGCCTGGGAACTTCAACACTTGTAACCTCCCTGAGCTCCCTTCCACCCGATCCCCCAACTTCCGGAATGGTGGCAAGAATGGGCCCTGTGTGTACCAGGATCTGTTGCTGAGCCCTGGAACTACCAACAGTGCCCTGCCTCCTCTGTTCCCTCTCATGTTGAACCCAGGTCCCCAGGGACAGCACCTGCTCACTTCTCTGAGATCAAGTCAAGAAGAAGCATATGTTACCATGTCCAGCTTCTATCAAAATCAGTGAATTGTAAGAAATCCAAGACCGGAAGCATGGTGACCAACAAAGATGGGTGAGAGAGAGGCCGTCAAAAGGAGTCAGTGATTGCCTTCTGCATGTATCTCGTGGTCCTCTTTTCACGTTACTTCCTCTGCCATCTCGTTGTCATGTATTCGTAATCATCATGCCGACATATTCTCTTACAAACTGTTAAGAAGCTATCACTTTGGGGGATGTATTTACAGAGGCAAATGAAGCAAGTCAGAGTCAGGAGACCTACATGGAGATGCCTGCTTCTGAGACACGAACTCTGGAGGCAATAATGTATCTTAACTTCTTATCCTTCTAGATTGTCAACCCCAACAAGAATGCTGCCAAAATGATTTGACAAAATACCAGCTCCGTACCCTTCAAGAGTGTCAGATTCACCAAAGATAAGGAAAGACAGAAAAGCGATTAGAGGCCTCAGGAGACTCAGAGACACGATGATTCCATACAGTGGGCGATGCTAGGTAGGATCTAAGAATCTGATGACATTTGAAGGTGTCATCAGTTTAATTGATAGGGTTGTATCTGTGTTATTTTCTTGGGCTTAATTACTACACTATGGGTTATATTTTAGGGTCGGGGTATATGGGTACCTTTTGAGAAATTTTTTTCCAAATCTAAAATTAGTTTAAAATAAAAGGAGAAGAAGTGGCTGCGAAAGGCTGTCAAGATCTCCTTGTCTCGCCGGCAGCTCAAAGATTCTAAAACATGACTGTGGCCAGTCCTTGGCTCAGGAGCACCCCCACATGAGACAAGGGCATCCTGCCTTTTCGGTGTCGATGTGGTCTCAAAATTTCAGACCACCCAAATGATGTGATCATGTTACGTATGAAGGAAAAAATAAACCCTGAAAATAATGAGAGAGACAGTAGAGGAAAGCAGAAAGGGGAAAGAAGACAAAGAGTGAGAAAGAGAAGAAAGAAGGAAGGGAGGATAAGAGTCATAGGTACCACCTCTGAGGCCTGCTCTCCACCGAGTGCCCCAGAGTGCCACACGGATCGCACTAGACATCTTGTCTCACCTCAGTCTCAGAACAAGTCTGGGAGGTGGGTGCCATTGTTGTTCTTTGTCCTCATTCAAAAGAATGAAGTCGCTTGTCCAAGGTGCCCACTCAGCAGGGAGGGAAGCCAAGCTCTGAGGTCTGAGAGCCTGATTGCGGTGTCGTCTGAGTCCTGCGCTTGACTAGGAACGTCCCATTCTTGGCAACCCCTTCTCATCAAAGGATAACTCAATGGTGAACTGTCCAACTCAAAGCACTTTTGAAAGTGAAAAGAGAAGCTATAGATAACCTCTCCAGGACAACAGAACCAGGGTTGTTCCAGACATAGGGCTACCCAAGCAACTGAGCAAAGGGAAAAAATAATAGTAATACTAGAAGTGCTTTCATGGTGTGCGAAGTGCCATGACCAGCCTATGTCGATAGAAGATGAAGAAGTCGGGGAACAACTACAAAGCCCATTCGTTTTGTTTTTCAGAAACAACGCTCCTTCAGCGTTAGAAACCCAGACTGTCCATTGCTCTTTATCAAGCCCTGAAAACTCTGGCTACTTGCCTCCATCCCCCAAATCTGCATCTATTGGCCTCAGAGGAACCTGTTGCTGATGTTGGACACCTGACTCAGGGAATGACCCTCTCTTTATGTGCACGGACTTCTCCAATCCAGATTCATTCACAAATACTTCCAACTTCTTCAACCTTAGACAGTCCACAAATTTCGCAGAGGACTTGCAGGCATGCAGCGAGTGAGCAGACTGTGGCTGTATTTTTGAAGATTGATGGCATTAACATTGGTCATTTGTCCCTTTGCCTAGCAACTATCTGCAATCACTGGAACCCTGGGTTGCATATTGGATTGCTAATTGTGAGGTTGGCAGTTTGAGACCTCTAGCTGCTTCTTGAGGAAAGATGAGGCTCTCTACTCCTGTAAATATTTATATTACCAGTAACCCACAGGAACAGTTCTACTCTGTCCACTATGGTCCCCATGGCCAACAAGCAGCAGTGAGTTTATTTTTTTTGAATCAAGGCACTTCACAACAATAATCTTCTATCAAGGGAGTTCCTGTGGGTGCAGACAGCAACCTCAGCTGCTAATCAAAAGGTTGGAGGTTCAAGTCCACCCAGAGACACCTCAGAGGAAAAGTCTGCTTATTTTCTTCAGAAAAATCAACTGCTGAAATCCTATAAGGTGCAGTTCTATTGTGACACACATGGGGTCCCCATGAATCAGTATCTACTCAATAGGGAATACTGTTTTTCTTTCTTTTTTATTTTTTTAATCTCCAACCATATCAAGGTAATTGAGCAATTTCAGATCAGGTAGTACAGCTAATCCCTCTCCCACCGCTGCCCCTCCCCCAGGGGCCACATGAACCAGACATGGCAGAGTGTAGTATGGAAAGATGTATATAGGCCTAGGCCCTAGGGTGTTGTTAGATGCTTGGTGTTGTTTAATTTTTTAAAAATTTTTCTTTGTTCTGTTTTTAGGGCTTGGAGCCATTATTTTTATTGGTTTGGTTTGGTTTGATGGTGTCTTTGAAGGGAGTTTTAAATGGTGGATTGATGGGCTTTCCATGTTGACTTAGATGCCTAGTAATAATTAGACCATCTTGTTCTTTGGTAAGCTCTGGTAACACAATGATTAAGCATCCATCTACAAGCCAAGAGGTGGAAGGTTTCAATCCGCCCACTAACTCTTTGAGAGAAAGCATGAACAATCTGTTTCATAAAGATTACACCCTAGAAAACTCCATGGGCCACTTGCACTCTGAATGTCAGAGAACTTCCTTAACAAGCATTTATAGAAAGCCTGCGATATGCCAACCATAGTGTTAGGCACAGGAAATCTAAATGCAAATACAATTGGGACCCTGAAAGTAGAAAATTTAGCAAATGGGACAGATGTGCAGAAAAATTATTCCACTAATATGGAATGCTATAATGAAAGTGTGTTTTAAATGTGTTGCTGGAGGACGGCTGGGTATTTGCACAGAGGAGAAGTAGAGTCAGCCTGGTGTGACCAGGTGGCATGTGTTCTACAGGTAGGAATGGGAAGCAAGTCTCAAAGAGGAAGGTGCATAAACCCATGACCAAACTGGGTTAGTTTATTTTATCTTCACATAAAGCTGAAGTGTTTTTTATTTTGATTCATGAGAAAATTGGGGCACAGAGAAAGCAGGTAACTTACTCAACCACACCTGGACACCATAGGTTTTTATGCCTGGCATAAGTAGACAATCTCTAGAGGAAATGAGAACATAAGTCTAGAGGAGCTATAAAATCCTGTTTTGGTGGTTTTTAAACCAAGATTAGCACTTGCATTTAGTGTGTGAGTGTCTGTCATACATTTAAAATCCATGTATTATATTCTTATCATAATAATTGCTGCTATTGCTTGATTATATACCAGGAACAATGGATCACAAAAGATTACTAATTGGTTCTCGCCAATCCCCCTTTAGGTTTTATTAAGGCAAACTCTTGGTCAGAGTTGATGTATAAGTCTGTGATATGAACTGCCAATCCTTTACATGAATTAAATGAAGACTCTTGAACTGGTTAATTACACAACTAGGTTTGGATCTAGGAGGCTTGAAACTTATTCGGGTTGGTTTTCCACCAAATTCTGCCTATCTCTCCCATCTGGTTTCCTGAGGAATCTGCAGCCAGAAAACTGAGTATGGGCTTGTTTTTGATGTGCATACTTTTATTTTCTTGGTTGTTCTAGAGGATTTCAAGACTTATACCTTGCCAAGAAGGTAGAGTGTGGGATGGGGCTCCTGGAAATGGTGTGGTTCTGATGGCATTGCTACCAACTCAGTGTTTTGTTTTGGGGAGGGTTGGAGGCGGAACGTAGTCTTAAAACTATCCATCATTCACTACAGTAAAAGTCTCTGATTTGACTGTATACATTCCACGTGCATTACAAACATTTTTGCCGAGCTGCTAAGTGTGTGAGTATCCAATGTGTGTGTTATCGTCACATTTAATTAAATGGCATAGAACCCTTTGTGACTGTGCTTTTCTTCTGCGAGAACCACAAGTACCCAGCACGCGACCCAGAGTGAGCCCAAATTCCTCCCACCCTCCGGTGTCGTTTACTATCCCAGGTTTGGATTCTGAGAAGCAACATCTTTCATCGATCAGACCATTAGCTAACTAGCCATGATCTGTTGAGGATCAATGATGTGCTGCTCTGCACTCTGGTCAGCACGGGAGCTGCAGCAAGGACAGGCCACCTTTCGAGCTCAGTCACATGGTGGGCAAAGGACACGTAGATTGGCTTCCAGATGATCCCATTGCTTTAAAGCAGAGTATCAGTCAGAATTCTGAGCTTTGACAATAGAAAATAATTTGGGCTCATTAGAATAGCAAAGAATTTAATGAAGACTATTAGAAGACTCTACACAGTTCCTAGGATCTAGTTTCTAGACTTAGAGGCCATGGAATCATCCTGGATTACTGCCACTAATTCCTCCAGAAGCTGAAAGCAACCACCCCCTGTGCCACCAGTGGAACCTCAGTAGCATCCAGCTCCTTCCATCACTGGCTGCTGGTTCAAAGTCAAAGGCAGCATCTGGGATTCATGGTTCCTAAGCCTCACTCTGCTGCCTGGGCTCTAGCAATACACAGCAGGAAGGGAAGAGCTGGGGTTTTCTCCTACAAATAGAGGCAGGGTCACACTGAAAGTGGGAGGTGGTCAGATGCAGGAAAGGAAAAAGGGAATGACCGAAACAGACTCTGGACGCAGAGGAGAAGAGCTAAGAAGCCGGAAGTAGAAAGCAGTGTCGCTTGGTATGAGGTTGTAGAGGTCAGACTGTGCTAGACAAGGAGCCCAGGAGTGTAAGGAGAACATTTCAAGCTGAGGCAGCTATACGCAAAGCCATAGAGACGTGTGAACATGGCACATTTGAGAACTTAACTAATGTAGTACCCATCACCCTTGGATCTGTCTCAAAGAAAAAAGTAGTTGGGAAGTATTCCAGAAAGTCAGTTAAAAGAGGGTTTTTACACTTGGACAGAGGGATACACACACACACACACACACATACATATACATGTCTATCTACCTTAAACACTTTATTTAACTTTAAGCATAGCTTTATGCAACGTTCTTGCTATAAGGCGAAGATCCTCTTTGGGGATATGGGGTCTCTGATTATAGTTCCACATTGTCTTTCTCAGGCAGCACACATTCATAATGTATCCCAGGTTCATTCTAAACTTTCTTTCTTTAAAAGGGAAAAGAACTTTAAACACTTGCAAAAAAAGAAAGAAAGAAAGAAAGCTATGTGTAGACATCATCTAACATTTTAAAGAGATTCCTAATCTCTTAGTCCCTTTCCACCCCAATTTAACAGCATTATTCCTCATCAACATACTTTATCAAGTCTTTTCAAACCATACAAACTAGCTTTTTTTGAAAGAAAGAACACTCCTGAGACTTCCTCAGCCCCCACTATCATGACCCCAGTGCTGCTCCCCACTCTGGACCTGACAGGAGCTTGTACATAGGTATAGGCAAGAGATAAAATTCACAACACATGGAACCCTGGAACAGGAAAGGGAATAGACATACCAAAAGGGTAGGGGGAAGTGGGTGAGAGGTGGGAGGGAGGGGGCCACCGATCGCAATGAATGGCATATAACCACATACCCCTAGTCAGGGAGAAGAACAACAGAAACCAGAGGGGAAGGGAGACAGCGCTCAGAGTGTGTTTTGAAGATAATTAACAATCTACAATCTATCAGGGGGTCATGAGGGTTGAAAGTAGTTAACAATCTACAATCTATCAGGGGTCCACAAGGGTTGGGAGGGAGGGAAAAAAGGAGGAGCTGATCCCAAGGGTTCAAGGGAGAGTAAATACCTGTAAAAGAACAATGGAATATATGTATGAATATGTCGGATACAATTGATGTATGGTTTGTAACAAGAGTTGTAAGAGCCCCCAATAAAAATGACTTAAAAACAAAAAGGAAAGAGAAAAGAAACAACACTCTTTCTTTGCATGCTCTCATGTCCCCATCTGGTTATTGTTAGGTGCCATTGAGTCAGTGCCGACTCAATGCTCCACAGAACAAAGCACTGCTCTGCCCTATGTCATGCCCACAGTTGGTTTTAAGATTGAGCCCATTACTGCAGCCACTGTGCAAATCCACCTGACCCAGGACCTTCCTCTTTCCAAGCATGATGTCCTTCCCCAGGAACACCTGTCGTCTCTCCTGATGACATGTTGAAAGTATGTCACACGAAGTTGTGCCATCCTTGCCTCTGGGGAGCACACTGACTGTGCTTCCCCCAGACCAATTCGATGGTTCTTTTGGCCGTCATGATCCTTTCCATATCCTTGGCCAGCAGCGTAATTCAAATGCAACAATCCTTCTTTAGTCTTCCTTAGCCAATGTCTGCCCTACTTTCACATATTAATATGAGGCAAATGGAAATGCCATGGCTTGGCTCAGGCATGCTTTGGATCAAGGACACTTGAAGTAAGTTTTTCAGCACTTTAAAGAACATCTTGTGTGTAAATGCAACATACCGGCATGAAGTAGGTAACCAGTAGAGAGGTCTGAGGGACCGGCCCCAATCCCAACTACATGGACAGCCTCCCCTCCCCCCAGAAGAATCCACTTCAGAGGACAGCACAGAAGCTACAGCTCAGGGAGAGGGACATGTCTGGTCAGAGGACATGGGAACAAACGAAGGGGGAGGGAGCGAGAGTGGAGCACATCCTAGCCCTCCAAGTCCTGAGGAAAGTATTCCTACTCAGAGCAGCCAATGCATAGGGCTGACCCCACCATGAGACATGACATCCCTCACGGACCCATAGTGCTATGGAGGACAACACTGGAGGCACAGTGCCTGATCTGACCCCACCACACCAAGACAAAACACTAAGGGCATGTAACAGAACAGCAAGGGAAGCAGAGCAATGAAGTCCCTGGGGAATACAAAAAATAGACTGTGGGGCCAGGGCATGGCACCCATCAGACTTGACCAGAAAACATTCATAAAGGTCAACAAAATATGGGAAGAGAATGCTTTGAAAATGATGATGGCGGCATATGTGCAAATGTGCTTGACACACTGGATGAATGTATGGATTATGATAAGAGAAGAGCCCCTAATAAAAGTATTTTAAAAAAAGAAAAAAAGAAGGATAAATAGAAATGTGAAACACAGGGAAGAAATGGGATGAGTGATGGTACATTGGGCAGACTTTAATGAATGAGATTAAAAAATGTGTATGATTGTTAAACATAAAAGCAATAATCTGCTCTGTAAGCCTTCACCCAATTCACAATAAAAAAAATTTTTTTAGTTAAAAAAAAAGTCAACAAACAGACCTTGAACTATTTATCAGCTTTTCTCCTTTTTTGTCATTGGTTTTATTGTTGTTGTTTTGTTTTATTTTGTTGTTTTGTTTTGCTCTGTCTTGCTTTTGTGCATATTATTATTTCTGCATGTTTATCTAGATAAGATAGGCTGGATAAACAATCTGGAGGAGAAAAAAAGGGACCTGTGGTTCCAGGGGGACATGGGAGAGGGAGAGGCAGGGGAAGGAAGCCGATGTTAACAAACTCAGGAGCAAGGGAACAACAAATGATCTAAAATCGATAGCAAGAAGGGTATAGGAAGACTGGTAGGACTTGATCAAGGGCAATGTAACCAAGAGGAATTACTGAAACCCAAATGAAGGCTGAACATGATAGTGGGACAAGAGGAAA